GAGACCCCCGAACAGTGCCCCAAAATCAACCCCAAAATCCAACCAGAGACCCCCAGTGATCACCCCCAAAATCCAACCAGAGACCCCCAATGATCATCCCCAAAATCCTCCCCAAGACCCCCAATGATCTCCCCAAAATCCCCTCTGAGACCCCCAATGATGCTCCAACCCCATTTTGGGGTCCCCATCCCCATTTTGGGATCCCCATCCCCATTTTGGTTTCCCCATTCCCATTTTGGTTTCCCCATCCCCATTTTGGTTTCCCCAACCCCATTTTGGTTTCCCCATCCCCATTTCAGGATCCCCAACCCCATTTTGGGGTCCCCAGCCCCATTTTTGGGGTTCCTCACGGGGGTTTGGGGGTCCCTCAGGGCGCGTTCCAGCTCGAGCAGGGGTCGCCCCACGCCGCGGGCGCCGTCGGCGCGGCCCTCGAGGAAAAGGCGCGTCGGGATCGGCTCGTACGTCAGGGCGGGGCCGCGCTCCTGAGGGGATTTCGGGAGATTTCGGGAATCTGGGGGAGTTTGGGGTCTCTGGGACGGAGTTTGGGGGGGTCTCAGTTGGATTTGGGGGGTCTCAGTTGGATTTGGGGGGTCTCAGGTGGGTTTTGGAACCCTTGAGGAAAAGGCACATCAGGATCGGCTTGTACATGAGGGTGGTGCAGCACTCCTGAGGGGATTTCGGGAGATTTCGGGAATCTGGGGGATTTTGGGGTCTCTGGGATGGAGTTTGGGGGGGTCTCAGTTGGATTTGGGGATTTTGGAGCCCTCGAGGAAAAGGCACATCGGGATCAGATTGTACGCCAGGGCAGGACTGCACTCCTGAGGGGATTTTGGGGAGATTTTGGGAATTTGGGGGATTTTGGAGTGTCTGGGACGGAGTTTGGGGGGTCTCAGTTGGATTTGGGGGGGTCTCAGTTGGATTTTGGGGGGATCTCAGTTAAGTTTTGGGGGTCTCAGGTGGGTTTTGGAGCCCTTGAGGAAAAGGCACATCGGGATTGGTTTGCACGTGAGGGTGGGGCCATGATCCTGAGAGGATTTTGGGGAGATTTTGGGAATCTGGGGAATTTTGGGGTCTTTGGGATGGAGTTTGGGGTCTCTGGGATGGAATTTAGGGCATCTCAATTGGATTTGGGGGGGTCTCAGTTGGATTTGGGGGGATCTCAGTTAAGTTTTGGGGGTCTCAGGTGGGTTTTGGAGCCCTCGAGTAAAAGGCACATCGGGATCGGTTTGTATGTGAGGGTGGGGCCGCGCTCCTGAGGGGATTTTGAGGAGATTTTGGGAATCTGGAGGATTTTGGGGTCTCTGGGACGGAGTTTGGGGGGTCTCAGTTGGATTTGGGGGGGTCTCAGTTGGATTTTGGGGGTATCAGGTGGGTTTTGGAGCACTTGAGGAAAAGGCACATCAGGATCAGTTTGTACGTGAGGGTGGAGCCATGATCCTGAGGGGATTTTGGGGAGATTTTGGGAATCTGGAGGATTTTGGGGTCTTTGGGATGGAGTTTGGGGGGGTCTCAGTTGGATTTTGGGGGATCTCAGTTAAGTTTTGGGGGTCTCAGGTGGGTTTTGGAGCCCTTGAGGAAAAGGCACATCGGGATCGGTTTGNGGTCTCAGTTGGATTTTGGGGGATCTCAGTTAAGTTTTGGGGGTCTCAGGTGGGTTTTGGAGCCCTTGAGGAAAAGGCACATCGGGATCGGTTTGCACGTGAGGGTGGGGCCACGCTCCTGAGGGCATTTTGGGGAGATTTTGGGAATCTGGAGGATTTTGGGGTCTTTGGGATGGAGTTTGGGGTCTCTGGGATGGAATTTAGGGCATCTCAATTGGATTTGGGGGGGTCTCAGTTGGATTTTGGGGGTCTCAGGTGGGTTTTGGAGCCCTTGAGGAAAAGGCACATCGGGATTGGTTTGTACGTGAGGGTGGGGCCGTGATCCTGAGAGGATTTTGAGGAGATTTTGGGAATCTGGGGAATTTTGGGGTCTTTGGGATGGAGTTTGGGGGGTCTCAGTTGGATTTGGGGGGGTCTCAGTTGGATTTTGGGGGTCTCAGGTGGGTTTTGGAGCACTTGAGGAAAAGGCACATCAGGATCAGTTTGTACGTGAGGGTGGGGCCATGATCCTGAGGGGATTTTGGGGAGATTTTGGGAGTCAGGGATGGAGTTTGGGGGGTCCTGGGGTGAATTTTGGGGGTCTCACCCTGACCAGCGCCAGCTCCAGCGCCAGCGGCAGCAGCTCCTGGGGGTTCTCGGGGGTCCCGGAGGGTCCCAGGGGGTCCTCGACCGACACCACGTGGAGCTGGAGCCCCTCAGCCATGGCCTGGAACTGCTCCCGGGCCTGGGGCAGCATCCCCGAAACCTGCCC